CTTTCCCTTCTCCCTGTATACTTCCTCCCAAGTCCTTCCCTCCCTCTCAGTTTACAGACCAGTCCTTTGTGTCCTCTTTATTCCTGATTTATTCCTACTTCCTCGGCCGTAGCGCATCCTTCTTGACTTTCTTCCCTTGAAAGCAGCTGGGTTTTGAGGATGTATTCAGCATTCTCTAGCTTCGCCATCTAACGACAGACACCATCTGAGTTAAAAGAGGTGAAGAAAGTTTCTTCCTCTTAGGCTTTTTTGCAACCAAACGTATCTTGTCCAGGTGCCCTTCTCTTGACCATAGGCTTGCATGTTATAGAGTCTTTGGATTGTTTCCTGGAGAGCCCAGAGAAGAACCAAGCTGCATCCTCCAGCTCAGCGCTCTCTGACTTTTACAGGAAATATTCAACAACAGTAAACACGTAACCATGCTGTCGGGTACTATTGTAACTTGCTGTCCTTCGGGGGAAATGAATCCCTAAAATAAATTGTATGAATTTAAGAAGTCTTATGGGGAATGTGTTATTTGAAAGCCAAAGAGTAGAGACCCTAGTTCCACAGGCAGGACTGTGGTGTGAGACCTGATGTGGGAGCTGAGACCTTGATCTAAGCGTCAGTGAAACCCTGTCTGAAACAGCTGGATTTGTGAGAAGGCTTCCTCTGCTCCAATTCCATGTCCAGGCTAGGTTCAAACTTCGTGTAACTCTACTTCTGGAAAAAAAGAACAATACCTTCCTTTGGGATCGCTGCATGTCGTGTAACACCACAGCGTAACTATGGTCAGAGAAGGAGGTAGGCAGGGTCTCAGCTTTTTTATGCTGTGGGGTGATGAAGAGACTCACCCAGGAGATCCAGTCTCAAAGAAAAGCTTTTAAAGTATTGTCATGACCTGTGGCATCCCCTCAGTACCACCACGGCATTTGAAGGGTGCAGCAGAGCAGGGCAGGCAGCTGTTCCTGACAGAGAGAGAAAAAACAGGGCTGCTTTCTACCAAAAGGTCTTTCCCCACAGATCCCTGGGGTTGTAGAGGCCGTGGGACCTTCCTAGGGACCTTGAATGTGTTGGTGAAGAGGCTGTTGTGGCGGGAGCCACGTAGAGCTGCTCAGAGGGACAGTCTGGTCTCGCACAGGAGCCCTAAGCGATGGGTCGTGGCATCACTGCTGACCACATCTCTGCAGGAAAAGGCGAGTGAGCCTGGTCATTGTGGGAAGGTGGTTTGGGTTTATTTTGGAAAAACCCACCTCAGAGCCTAAGCCCAGACCTCACCACCTGCTCACTGTGGCCTTTTGTTTATTTGCTTTTTTCTTACAATATAATTACTCTCTTGTAAATCGAGCAGCCTAAGAGACTGGGTACGTCTTTGGCACTGCATGATTTGTCTTCCCAGCTGCTATGATTTCTGCTGTCCAGACATGGGTAATAAAAAGGCATGCATAACCCCCTTCTCCTTGGTGCATCCTCTAAGGGGTAGTACAAACCAAACCCACAGTACTCTGCAAGCTAAACAACCAGTGCTCCTTGCCTCTGTCCTCCCCTGTTATTTATTAATTAAGCCAAATTATAAATTATAGCCCTCAGAGTCTCAAGTACTGGTTGGAACTCCAGGGCAGAGGGTGCAGGGCAAAGAACATGAGCAGATGGGAGAGAAGGAGTGAGTGCCAGCAGCGCACAGAGAGAAAATCCTGCTCCTAGGGTCACTCAGATGGCTGATGGAAGACAGCAAGATAGCCCCAGGCTCCTGCTCTCCCTGCTTTGTCCCAAAAGGCTGCTCCCTGTGCTTCCTTGGTGGCTATCGGTGCTGGCAGACTGCTGAGGCTCCTTCCTCTGCAAGCGAGCATCTTCCCCCATGAGGTTCACTATTTTTGAAGCACACTTGTCTGCTGCTGAAGTGACTTCTCATCCAACCATCCTGGAGCCTCTCATTGGACTCTTTCTGGCTTCCAGAATGAATTTGCTGTCTTTGCTGGAGGAAGGTTCCCCTTGCCACCACCTCCTTCTACAAGTGACAGTCTCACCTCAAAGTCAATCATGGTTCTCTCTGGATTGGGCCTCAAAGATTTGATATCTGGACCGTAGCTCTTTTTATGTTGTGTTGACCACTTATTTTAATGGGCAGATTGCCTCCTGTTATTGCTTCTCTGGTCTTGGGTGTTGTGATGACCTTCGGGCAGATGGCTCCTGTTGCAGAAGAAGGGTTGTTCGTTACCTCTTCTGTCTCCGAGTCATGGCAGTTCACATTTCCCTGTCCTGCAGCTGTGCTGACTCTGCAGGGCTAAGAGGAACAAAATATAGTAAAATATAGGGGTAAAATAGATATCTTTTTAGTACTTGAAAAGAATAATTTCTTCCTAGATCTGTCTAGTGCACTATCAAACCAGTGTCTGTTAGAAATATGGATCATAACTCGTAAGTGACGGGAGCCGGTGTTCAGGGTCACCACGTGATGTTTCTGAACAGAGGACTCAAACAGGGACAGCTTCCCTCTTCTGCTGCTCTCTCAAGGATGGCCTCTTTTGAAAGAGGAATGGTTGTGCAAGGAGAGCTCATCCCATCCCCACTCTATCTATCATAATAAAGGTTATTAAAAGCCTACGTGACCAGCCTGCGTATCCCTGCAGAGCGAATGCTCTCCTGCTCGCAAGACAGTCTTGCAAACTCTGCAGTATAAGCTTGATTTTATTAAATATTTGCTTGACCAGAAAGGCAAAGCAGAACAGGGTAAACACACCTAAAGTAAATGTGAAATGACCTTTGTCCGTCATCTATCCAATGCCTGCGGCTGCTGCAGTGAGGAGGGCAGTGGGAGGTGAAGGTGATCACACAACAGCTTTGAAATTCTGGCTACTGTGAGAAATATGAAATATTTGGGGTGGCATAGAAGTGGTGGATGCTCTGCAAGCCCAGACTTACCCTTTCCACTATCAGATCTAATCAGTCTACAGGTCAAAAGAAGACAGGATTTATTCTCTTTATTATTACTTGAAGGAAATTTTTCAGTCCCACTGGCATTTGCAGAGTTGCAGAGATTTGTAAAAGCTGTGAATCCAGACCTGTGTCACCGCCACATCTTCCTCCCTGCTGGGATCTGCAAACAGTGATTTGCCCTTGCCTCCTGCTTGCACGGGGCTGGCTGTCATCACCTTTGCTCAGCTAGTTACACCGCTGATCTCACCAAAGTCACTCTGTGAGAGAGGCAGCAGGATGCTGGGCTGCAGGAGCAGAGCTGGGGTTTGACTGGTGTCCTTTTTAAAAGCAAGAACAGTTCTGTGGAATTCTGATCTTGATGTTAAAGAGGGATGGCGGGCAGAAAAACCTGTGTGCCTCAGGCTGGCCACCAGTAACAAGGGTTGAGTACTCAGCACTCATCAAGGAACTTGGGTGGTGAGACCTGAGCTGGTAGGACTCCACCTCCCACATGCTCTATGGGTCTATAGGGGGCCAAAGCTGCTCTTGGTACAGAAGCAGCCATGAAAAGGTGGAGGAACAGGGAACAGAAGGATGTGTTGAACAGGAAGATGCATTTCCACGGCATGAGGACGGGGCTTGGTGATGTGCTCATCAAGTTACAGAAGCTGTTTGAACCCCATACTGCTCCCACCACCCTGCTTAAAACCTGGGAGGTTTTGAGAGACTGAGTGGTGCAAGGAGGCCGTCTTCCCTCTCATTAGAAAGTCACCAGGCCGGTCCCTGGGATGTTAATTTTCCTACTTCGTGGTCCTTTAGACTTTATTACTACTAACAGTTAGGCAGCCCCTTTATGCTCAGTCATATGACATGGCCGGGGGAACTGTATCTCTCTTTTAGACAATATTTTCATGGCTGTGCAGTGGGTGGAGAGCAGTCTCGTGGTGAGAGCCCAGGGGAGGAATGAGACCTGGTGCTCAGTTTGCTCCGTGCTTGGCTACGTGCCCTTTGTAGATGTGGCTGTGAAGGCTGGCACACCACAACTCCTACGTCTGTACTCCAAGCTGGACCGGCATGAGGCAGCTTTGATCTGGAAGCCACAGAGAGCCTGTTCAAACAGGCCCGTTCTGGACCAAAGTCTCCCTGAAAGGATGTTAATGTCAGACCAGAGCTGGCTTCTTCCTGGCAAACTTCAAGGGCTGCAAAGGAGTGCAGTATCCATCTGGACCTGTCCCTATAGGCAGGTCCCTGACCTTCTCTAGGCTTCAGTCCCTCATCCAGAAGAGCGGGATAATAATCCTTCTCCAGTCCTGTCTTCTTAGATAGCAAATACGCAATTGGGTCAAAGTTGGCAGTGCAAACAGCAGCACTGCTTGATGTTTCTGCCATTAGCCTTCCGCACTGCTCTGGCTTCCAGTGAATTTTTGCGCTGCTCCATGGGGCATGTGTGTGTGTAATGGAGAGTAAAAGGGTGCTGATTTATTATTCTGCTATGCCATTTCTGCTCTTTCTATGAGCATCTTTTATTTCAGGAGGGCTCCCTTTGTGCTGGTTTTAAGTAGAGAGCTCAGAGACGAGAAAGGGAGGATTAGCAATTAAATATGCTGTGATGATGGCATGGTTGTGGAGGAGGGAGGAGGAAGGAATGCTCTATGGTAATGTACTTTTGTTTTCTTTTCTGTTTGCTTGTAGGACAAAATCTGCCGGGGAATTGGTGTTTTGAAGATTCTTACAGATTTTAATCCTCGTTCCCTTGGGAGTACAAACCTTTCTAATCATGTCACTGGCCATGTGGAAATGGACTTGCCTGGTTTCTCACCTCCTGCTATCCACTACAGTGTCGCCTCTTGGTAGGCAGCAGCCACTCCATCCAAAGAGGCCCTTCATCACTTTCTCTGGAGACCAAGCAGAGGGAAACTTCAACCACTTGGTGGTTGATGAAAGAACTGGGCACATTTACTTGGGAGCTGTCAACAGGATCTACAAACTCTCCAGTGACCTGAAGGTCCTGGTGACCCACCAGACTGGTCCTGATGAAGATAATCCCAAGTGTTATCCTCCCAGGATAGTCCAAACCTGCAACGAACCCTTGACGCCCACTAACAACATAAACAAAATGCTCCTCATAGACTACAAGGAGAATCGATTGATAGCCTGTGGGAGTCTTTACCAGGGCATCTGCAAGCTTTTGAGGCTGGATGACCTCTTCAAGCTGGGAGAGCCCTTCCACAAGAAGGAGCATTATCTCTCTGGGGTGAATGAGAGTGGCTCTGTTTTCGGAGTCATTGTTTCTTACAGCAACATGGATGACAAGTTGTTCATTGCCACTGCCGTGGATGGCAAACCCGAGTATTTCCCTACTATTTCCAGCAGAAAGCTCACGAAGAATTCAGAGGCAGATGGGATGTTTGCATATGTCTTTCATGATGAGTTTGTGGCCTCTATGATCAAGATCCCCTCAGACACCTTTACCATCATTCCTGACTTTGATATCTACTACATCTACGGCTTCAGCAGTGGTAACTTTGTCTATTTCCTGACTCTGCAGCCCGAGATGATCTCACCACCTGGCTCCACCACGAAGGAGCAGGTTTATACCTCCAAGCTGGTTCGGCTTTGTAAGGAGGACACAGCCTTTAACTCCTATGTTGAGGTGCCTATTGGCTGTGAGAAGAACGGAGTGGAATACCGGTTGCTCCAGGCAGCCTACTTGTCTAAGGCTGGAGCCATCTTAGCGAGGTCTTTGGGTGTTGGCCCTGAGGATGATATCCTCTTCACAGTCTTCTCCAAGGGGCAGAAAAGGAAGATGAAGTCCTTGGATGAGTCTGCTCTTTGCATCTTTGTCCTGAAAAAGATCAACGATCGCATCAAGGACAGACTACAGTCCTGCTACAGGGGAGAAGGGACGTTAGACCTGGCCTGGCTCAAAGTCAAGGACATTCCCTGTAGCAGTGCGGTAAGTGAAGCCCCTAAGCACCCAACCTTAACCTCCTCATATGCTCACAGGTCTTAGAGCATGGCTCAATGATTAGAATAGGGACTGAGGAACTGAGACTGTCTTGTCACCGTCCTGACTCTGCCTCCAGCTCAGCACACCACCTAATTTAACCATATCATGCCTCAGTTTGCTGATGTACGAGCTGAGGAAGGCACTTTCTGACCTCCCCAAGCATGCTATGTTTGCTGATGAACTAAGCCAAGGGGCCTTGAAATCTTTAGGAGGGATTTGCCTGTTGTAGTTACTTCACTGTGCAATTCGTTACAGGTGAAACCACATTTCCTTGTGCAGTCTTGGCTCAAACCTAAACCAAAACAGGACCTAGATAATGTCCATGGCTTGTGCTGGTTTCTGTGTCTGTTGGTGTAATTTTATTTCCCTGGGCTGGAGTAAGAGCAGGATTTATTCAGGGAGCTTTGTAAAGCCAGGGCTTCATTTCTTCTAGGGCTGAGAAGCACTGGTCATTAACCATCGAAGTCCCTCATCTTCTGGTTTCCAGCCAGCTTTGCGCTGTCTCTGCACTGAAAAATTAAGGCCTGGCTACAGATCAAGGATTAAATGCTGCAAGATTTAAGGACAGGACTGGGAAAGAGGCTAGTCTACCGGACTTGCAAATGGTGTTAAGAATTTGTCTTGGTTTATTCTGTCGGTTCGCTAAAGTGTCATTGCAGAAATCTGCGCCGGCCCCGTCAGTATACGGCTGGCTTTGATACCATGCACAGAAATCAGCATTACAGCCGGCACTGCACCCAGGCTGCTGTAATAGCCGCCTCTCTGGGCTTTGATTTCCTTTCTTAATTAGCTCTTTCAAGTGAGAGGCAAGTTCAAGTCTGAGCAAAGGGAATATGGAGAAACACCAGAGCACTTTCCTGCCCCATAATCTCCAGGCAGTCAGGGCTCGGGATATGGAATTGCTCCAGCTTCCCTTTGTACTCAAGCCTCCTTTGCTGGGGGATCCCTGCTGTCGTTCCTTTGCAGGACAAGGACAGACCAAGAGGAATGCAGATGGAAATCTCATTGCAGGGAGACTGATCCTGCCTCACACTTCCCTAATTCCCCTTCACACCAGTGCCTTCAGCATGGTTGCTTGACCTTGCAGTGCTCTTACGCTCCCACACCGAACACGCGGAAGTTTCTGTGGGATCTCTTCTGCCTAGACCTGCAAAGCTCCCTGTGGAGTGTTGCACGGGGAGGAAGGCTGTGCCCGAATCTGGCTTTGATTTTTTTGTTTAGCCTCAAGGCCTCTGCGTGTTGTTTGAAGAGCTGCCTTTAGTTTTAAGCTTGGAGCTTCCCACAGGAGTTACTTTCCTGGGCTGTTAAGCCTCTCCATGCTATTGCAAATCTGGGCTACTTATGCTCCACACTAACACTTGTGATAATGGACCTCTCAAATCAGGAGGCTTGAAACCTGTCAGTCACCTGGGTTTTGTGGCTTTAGACAGGAGCAAGAAGGACAACAGCTTTCTTGTGTCCCTTGGGCTAAGTCCTGGACAAAGAATACTGGTGTATCAGAGTGAATTTGGAGGGACAGGACTGCAGAGGTTGGGGAGAGGACAAGGAGCCAAGGCCTGGGTGACACAGTGGGAAAAACTGTTGGAGCGTATTTGTGACTGCATTTCTTCACCGTGAACCAGAGATGCTACTGTTTCCCAGCTTGAGAAAGAGCGTGGAGATCCTTAAAGAAAAAATATGAGTCTGAAAATTGTAACTAACTGGGCTGTCCTCTGCTTAAATGAATCTACTTGAAGCTGCTGACAAACCCTGTCTGAGATCAGCTGTGCTGCCCGGGGGGAAGAGGTATTAGTGACTTGGCTGCTGTAAGGGTTGTGGAGTCCAGCCGCTAAGCTTGGAAAATATTTGATGGTTGGTGAAGTATTTTGGAGCCTGGATATATGTCTGTGAGGGCCTCATCTCCTTTGCTGATGTCCTGCTTGCCAGGCATCCACCAGCACTGCTGCTCTGCCTCTTAGCATATGTATTTGAAACATCTCTAAAACCGATTACAAAGCCATCAGTGAGACTCCCCCTGGTTTTGTGTAGATGTCAAATATTTCTCTGCTGGTCCAAATAAAGGCTTAACCTGCCTGCGATCAAGGCTGAACCTGAACTTCAGCTCTGCTGCCCTGTCTTCAGCAGCTGAAATCCTGCAAGTGAACAGATACAGATGGGTAGAGATGAGCTGTGGAAAACTTTCACTAAGCATTGCAGAGAAACACTGTTGGAAGACATATTTCAGTCCTTCTTTGTGGTATCAGCTGTAGGACCATGGATTATGGAGCTGGGCTCACTGCACTGTCCTCGCATCTTGGTGTGTGGTGATGTCTAGCTTTTGGTAACAAATATTTTTCTAATAAGGCGATAACTGACTCAAAGAGGATCCACATGTTAGGATGCTTCTATTCCTGCCTTAGTGTAATGCTTGCTCAAGGCTGCTTCAGGGCAAGAGAAGTCTTTTGGGGACCATTCCCAGCACAGCTCTCCTAACCTGCAATATAGGGTTGGAACCAGATGATCTTTAAGGTCCCTTCCAACCCTTACCATTCTATGATACTATGATTCTATGCACACAAATAATCACTGGGATGTGGGGGAACGGCGCACTTGGCTGGAGTAGTACAGTGCAGAGTCTGCAGCTTCTCTGGTCGGGCACCTTTGTTGGTGCAGCTGGAGCTGGGAAAGTTGAGGTCAGATATGACCTGGCAGCAAGTTGGCCTGAACGAACTATTGTCTCATGGTCAACATGCAGCGTTGGGTCTCCAGATGTTCTGTAGGGTGGGATGTCCTGGAGACTCACCCTGATCTGGTTTGTAAACCCAATGTGAAGGCAAAGGATGGAGGCACAACTGTGTAATGAGCCTGTGCATCTCTCGTGCCAACCGTGTGTGTGTTGCAGATGTTAGCAGTGTGACAGAATAATTTCCGCAATGGGGAATACAAAAGTCCAGAGATGAATGGACCATCCTCAATGTTCATTCCTCCCCTGTTCCTGTGTTATAGCTGTCCTCCTATTAATCTCCACCATAAATCAGGAAGAAATGAGGGATTTTTATGTCTGGGGAGCTGATTTGCAAATTGGCGATGTTCAGTCAGGTGATGAACAGTTCCAGGTAATACCTCTCTGGTTTTCCTTTGTGCAAATACAGGATAATAGCTTATATTTAAACATGACACTTGACCTCGAGTGCTTAGATATTCATATAATCAGAGAAAAATGAGGCTGTGAAAAAAAAAGTCTTATGAGGTCATCTGATTTGCCCTTCTGCCCTACTTATAACATTTCTGACAGATGTTTGTCTCACCTGTTCTTAACCTCCAGCAATGGAGATTCCTCTCTCTCCCTACATGATCTGTCTTTGCTGTTAGGAAGCTTTCCCTCATGCCTAATCTAAATCTCCTTTCCTGAGACTGAAGCCATTCCTACTATCTAGCCACAGAGAGCACCTCCATCCCCTTTGCCTATCTGGAGAGAGCGTTGTATGTCACCAAAATGTGACCACTTCTGTGGTGCAGCATGGTGCCCTAGTGAGGCCTCATCTAGAGTACGGTGTCCAGTTCTGGGCTCCCCAGTTCAAGAAAGATGAGGAGCTACTGGAGAGAGTCCAGCGGAGGGCTACGAGGATGAGGAGGGGACTG